GTTATCTTTCCTGACCCCGGCAGTGACTCTAAAACAGAGGCTTCATCTCTTCACACGTCTCCTCAGCAAACACTGTCTGAGCTCCAGGTGATGGCACACACTTGCAATCCCAGCACTTAGGAGGTGGAGGCAGGGGAGGTAGGAGTCGGGGGCCTCCTCAGCTACACAGCCAGTTTGAGACCAGCCTGTAAGAGACCCTACCAGGAAGGAAAGAGGGAGGGAGGGAGGAAGGGAGGAGGGAGGGAGGGAGAAAGGGAGGAGGAAGGGAGGGAGGGGGGAGGGAGGGAGGAAGGAAGGGAGAGAGAGGAGGGGAAACAAAGGAGGAGAAGAAAGGAAAGGGAGGGGGAGGGGAAGGGAGGGGAGGGAAAAGGGAGAAAAGGAATTCTCAGGTGTCTGCTACTTCACTGGACTACAGGATACCTAGGGCACTAACTAAGAGCCATGCCTCTGAGTGTGTCTGGGAGGGGTTTCCAGAGAGCATTGACTGAGGAGTAAGATGAATGTGAAAGATGAGTCGATATCTCTGACCGAATAAAAAGGAGAAAAGAAGCCAGCAGAGAAAACACCTCACCGGTTAAGATCACTGCTACAGGGTTTAGTTCTCAGTGCCCCCAGCACGTGGCTCACAACTGCCTGGAACTCCAGTTCCAGAGGATCCAACACCATGTCCTGGCATCTAAGGGTACTGTTTTCACATAGTACACACACAGACAAGCCGGCACGCATGCATGCATGTACGTAAAAATTAATTTTAAAAATGTGTAAATAAAAAGAGCTGAGCACCAACTTTCCTCTTTCTCTGCTTCCTTGTTATTGCCATAGACCAAGCTACCCCCACCGCCATGCTTTCTCCACCGTGAAGGACTGCACCCCAAATGTGAACCAAAATTAACCCTTCCCCCTTCTGATGCTGCTGTAGGGTATTGGGCTACAGTGATGAGAAAAGGTAACCAACATAGAATGAATGAATGAACGAATGAACAAATGAATGAGTAAATGAACGCTTCACTCTTCCATTATCAGAAAGAGCAAGAGCAGCATCTAAGGCTCACATGGTCAGAAGATGCAGGAAGCCGAACAGCAAGGCTGTGGCAATACGTTCCCCATAGTAATTATCCAGCCTCGTAACGCTGCGCTGATACAGGTGACTGTGAGTCTGCGAGCTGACTCACTCCTAAGTGAGGCCCGGATCCCAGGAAGGTAAGATCCACCAACATCTTACCATCTCAAAGCTGGATCCCCCTCAGCAGCCATGATGTGGCAACAAAACCTGGGACTCCCCAGCTGGAATGCAGAAAAGAGTCAGGCCTTTGGTCTCAAAGACTAGGTCGGTTAGCCTAGAGTCGGCTCTATCTGAAGAACATTTTTTTTAATGCAGCTGTGGGGCTAGAGGAGGGGCACCTTGGTCGAGCTCTCGATTGGCATGTGCTAATTAGAAGAAATTGAACAAGCAGCTTTAGGCAGCCCTGTAGCTGTGCCTGTAGTCCCAACCACTTGAAAGGCCGAGGCAAGAGGATACTGCAGCCAGGAGTTTGAGGCTGGTTTGGACAGCATATTAAGACCCCCATCTCAAACAAAGCAAAAGCCAGGAGTGGGAGAGATGGTTCATCAGTTAAGAACACCTGTTGCTCTTGCAACAAAACCTGGGTTTGGTTCCAGCATCCCACAACCATTTGTAACTCTGGTTCCAGGGGACCCGATGCCCTCTTCCGACCACCAAGGACACCTGGAATGCATGTGGTGCGCATACACCCATGTAAGCAAAACACTCAATACATAAAACATTACAAAAAAAAAGTCTTTGCCGGGAGGTGGTGGCTCACACCTTTAATCCCAGCACAAGAGGCAGAAGCATGCAGATTGATCCTGAATTCCAGGCCAGCCTAGTCTATAGAGTTCCAGGACAGCCAAGGCTATGCAGAGAAACCCTGTCTCGAAAACAAAGTCTTTGTGCCCTCAGGCCCCACCCCGTAGGTAAATCTCCATTAAATCCTGTGTGTGCAGGCACGTGCACAATAAGGCAGGGTCTCTCTATCACATAGCTCTGTCTCTCCTAGAATTCACTACATAGATCAGGCTGGATTTGAGCTCACAGATCCACTTGTCTGTGCCCCCAAGTGCTGGGCTAAAGGCCTGTGTGCACACCCAGTTTCTTGAAAGCTTTTGACCTTCCGGAACGGTGCTTTTGAATGGACAGGAGCTCAAGCGGCAGAGATGGCTTGGAATTGTCAAGTAGCCAAATCAGAATGAGAGAAAAGAAAGACACGGAATTCGTGTTAATATTTGTGTTGACCCCAAGGTGTCCAACGCATGATTTTAACATGCAATGGGCATTAAAGTAAACCCTGACAAGGATGTGACTGTGTAATGTGCTAAGTGCTTAGAGAAGTGTGTCCCAACCGTGCCCTAGCATCCAGCACTGACATTTGTTCTGCAGTCTCCGGTGGACACGCTGCTGCTAACTCAGTTGCATCCTGTGCCAGGCAGCTGTGGTACTGAAAATGAAGACAGCCCAGGGAGGAGTGTCACTGTCACCCCCACGACATGGAGAAAGACAAATGGCAGAGGGGAGGTTCTGAGCTCTGGAAGGCAGAGGCCATGCCACACTCTCAGGACAGTTTGTGGTGGCACTGGGGGCGCAGCCACTTTTAACTTAGAGTCCAGTGCCTCTCAACCTTCCTAAGGCTGTGACCCTTTAATACAGTTCTTCATGCTGTGGTGACCCCCGACCATGCAATTATTCCCTTGCTACTCCATAACTGTTATTTTGCGACTGTTATGAATCCCAGTGTAAATATCTGATATGTGACCCTGTGGGGGTTGCGACCCACAGGTTGAGAAACTCTGGCTTTCTTATGCATTTCTAAGGAACTGGCTATCAGGAGCCTCCCACAGTCAACAGCTTGCTACAAGCAACCAGCCCACTCCTTAGATAAATGCCAAGCCGCGCCTAACCAGCCCCACCAGCCTGGCCTCCTGGTCTTCCTCCACAAAGCAGACAATGCCGGCTTCCTTTATCCCTGAACAGTCTCCCAGATGAAGTTACGCAAGCCTGGTTTCCCAACTCTGAGAATCAGGCTATGCTAGAACGGTTCCCACGCTTCTGTGGCATCTGAAACTCGACTTCCTGTACGGCGCTGCTACCATCCTCCCTATCCCCAGCTCTGTCTCCTCATACTCCCAGTGCCGTCTCCCCTCCAGCCTTCACTAAAACACCAACACTTCAATTGTCCCACCCACACCCACCCCTCTGCATGTGACTCTCTTGGAAGGGACTTATCTGTCCTGTCCTGCTTTTCCAGAACCTTCACAGAAGATAGACAAACTAAGCTCTTGCTGAGGGCCAGGCATTTTTTAAAGCATTTTACAGGTAAGGAACTCAAGCCATCCCTCCCTCTGAGGGAGATATTTTCTTTTTTTTTTTTTTAAGATTTATTTATTATGTATACAGTGTTCTGTCTGCATGTATGTCTGCACACCAGAAGAGGGCACCAGATCTCATTATAGGTGGTTTTGAGCCACCATGTGGTTGCTGGGAATTGAACTCAGGACCTCTGGAAGAACAACAGTCAGTGCTCTTAACCTCTGAGCCATCTCTCCAGTCCGGGAGATATTTTCTTAACCCCATTTTTCAGATAGGGACAACAGGCATAGCTTGCCTGACATCAATCACAGACAGGAAGTTAGTGGAACCGCCAAGATTCACTCCATGGCAGGTCAGCTTTGAGGACAGGAGGATGCTGATGCTGGCTGCTGTTACTGCATCGGCATGACCCTTAGCAGCGGGGATGAGCTACAAAAACTTAAGAGCAAGCAGAGACTCCCTCCCCACCTCAGCCAGACTGCTTCTCTGTCCTGAGGAACTCAGTCAGCAGGGGATGCACCTGGCCTGGTAACTGGTGACTTCAGTCAGGTGGCTGCCTCAGTTGCTCCAAATTTGTACCTTATACTTAATTACCCGATGCGTCTTCAATGGTGTGAGTCATAGCTAGGTCCCTGAGGTCCAGCCTCAGCCCATGTTCAGTGTCCAGTGGAGAAAGAAGCCAGAGACTAAAGAGACAACGACCCTTCCCTGCAGCCCCTTATCAGCCCCTGACCTAATGTGTTTGCTCCGCTCATCCTCCCTCCCTTTCACGATCTCCAAGCTCTCTCTAAACCTGTCTGTCTTAGGTAACCCATGCGAGCCTCAAACTCACTTCGTAGCCATGAACGGCTTGAACGTCTTCTTTCTTATCTTCCTTTTTTTTTTTTTTTTTTTTTTTCTTCTCGAGACAGGGTTTCTCTGTATTGTTTTGGAGGCTGTCCTGGAACTCGCTCTGTAGACCAGGCTGGCCTCGAACTCACAGAGATCCGCCTGCCTCTGCCTCCCGAGTGCTGGGATTAAAGGCGTGCACCACCAACGCCCGGCCTTTCTTATCTTCCTAGTGCTAGGATGACAGGGGTGCACCACCACTCCTGGCTGTGAGGGGCTAGGGATCAGATCCAGGGCTGCGAGCATTCTACCAACGGAGACACATCCTTACCTCTCAGCTCATCTCCTCACACATCAATGTCTTAAGGGGGTTAGGGCTGGTTTAAGCCTCTCATAACAATGGAGAAACTTGAAGATTAGAACAGGGTCACTGCCTAGTAATGCCCTCGGGAGCTAGCTAAAACCCAGGAGGTAAGCAGCACAAAAGGTTCAGGAAATCCCTGAAACTAACCAGATGCAATAAGTCCCTCCCTTCCTGTTTAGTTACTTTCTGGTACTGTGATAAGAAATGTCATGATCAAAGCAACTTCTAGAAAGAAGGGTTCATGTGGGCTTGCGGTTCCAGAGGGAGACTCGGTAATGGTGGGGGAGGCGTGGCCTCAGACAGTCAAAAAGGAAGGCTGAGCAATCCGTTCTTCAACTGCAAACATGAAGCCGAGAAGGCAAACTGCCGCAAGGCTGTGAACTCTCAAGCCCCGCCCCCAATGATGTAATCCCTCCAATAATGCTCCACCTCCTGCAGGTCCCACAACCTCCCCTAACAGCATCACCAACCAGAAACCAACTATTCAAACGCCTCGGCCTGTGGGGGACATTTCTCAGTCAAACTACCACACTCCCTGAGGTTACAAGCAGTGAGGACTGCTGAGAGACACGTTCGGACCATCCGAGCTGCCTGGAAGACACACCCACAATTCCACAGCTGCCTGCTCCAGGGTTCCGGCTTTCATGAGCCCGTCATTCTTGCTGGGGTGAGCTTCAGCACCACAACTGCCCATGAGCCGTCTCTGCTCCTGGACCCCCTCACCCACACTCCTGCGAGTAACCCCGATAAGCATATCGGTTTCCCGAGTTGGACCCTCACCTTCACGGCATGAGGTGAGAGACACATCCATTCGCATCTCCCCAGGAATGGTGTCACGCGGCACAGATGGCCCCAGGATCTCAGTATGTATGCAGTAAGTAGCTGGTCGAGCTGCAAGTTTACGTGGGTCCCTCTGCGGGAGACACAACATGGGAAACCAGGGGTCACGGGCGGTCTTTGCTGAGGATAGTCCAGCAGGGGTGACCACAGAGCTGAGCGTCTCTACCCAGAGAGGCACAAGCCGGATGGAAGTGGTTAGAGCTAAGGGAGGGGCAGAGGCAAAAGGGGGGGGGTAGCTGTGGGGATGAGGGAAAAGGGAGGATGGAAAACTAAGGAAGTATGGGGATGGAAGGGGGCCCTCACCTGAGGACCTGGTTTGTGTTTCTCACCAACTGAGAGGCAAGGATTTCAACACAGCAGTCAATACCCCTATGAGGGGCTAGGGAGATGGCTTGGTGGGTAATAGAGCTTGCTGTGTGAGTATGAAGACCCAAGTTCAAATCCCCAGAACCCACATAAAAAAGCCAGGCGTGACCACATGCATACCTGTAACCCTGGTGCTCTCAGGGAGGGGAATAGAGACGGGAGGATTGCTGGGACCTGCTGTGGGCCAGCCTAGCTCCAGGTGACAGCCTGTGTCTCAAGGTAGAGAATAAGGTATAAGGTGATAGAGCAGGTTACCCAGGATCCTCCTGTGGCCTCTGTACTGCATGCGCGCATACACACACACACACACACACACACACACACACACACACACACACACCTATGAGGACCACCTGCACAGAGACAATCCTCCCTTTGTGAGAGCTATCTCAGCAAGAGTGTGCAAACACTTAACTACAGTCTATTCTGAGCGCCAAAATGCACATGACCTTTGAGTTTAAGCTTATCAGGGCTCCTCCTCACCCCTAAACTGCAGCAGCAAATCTCATAACCCACCTTACAGTTTCACTCACAGAAACAACTGCTACATAGAAATGTAAGCCATCTCATAGTTTTTAACTTAATGTTTAAACCCTACTTAATCTTTATATGTGGTTGTAAATTATATCTTTTGGACAGTGTGACTTCAGAAATGACAAAATCACACACACACACAAACACACACACATGTACATATGATGCATGAATGTGCCTATTGTTCTAACACTTAAGAGTCACTCTTTCTGAACTGCTATGCTCTGGATCTTCCTCCTTAGAGTGTCTGCTTAATGGGCCCCAACTCTGAGCTCAGCCTCTGAGCTCAATGCCTGGGACCCAAATAGTGGAAGGAGAGAAACAGTTCCCTAAAGTTGTTCCCTGACAATCCACATTAGTGCTGTGGCATGTATGCACCACCCCCATAAATAAACTGTAATTTAAGAACAGCAGCTCCAAGCGTTGCAGTTCCTGCCTGTAATGACTGTACTTGGAAGGTCGAGGTAGAGGGTAGGACTGTGAGTCTGTGAACTCGAGGCCAGCCTGGGCCAGGCAGTGAGTTCTGGTTCAGCCTGAGCTACTGGGTAAAACCCTGTCTTATCAAGGGTGTATCTCAACTGGGAGAACACTTTTCTAGCAGACAAGAAGTCCTGGATTTGAGGCCCCAACATAAATCTAACATGGTGGTACAAGCCTGTAATCCCAGTATTCAGAAGCTGGAGGCAGGAGGTTCAGAAATATATACACATCAAACATACATACATACATACATACATACATCCCAACTTGGTTTCATCCTGACTCCTTTTGAAGTTCTTTCCTCTTATGAAAAGGTTTATTTATGATTTTTCTTACATATATGTGTGTATCTGTGTGGGGGTATATGCACAAGCATGTGCATGTGCCCATGGAGTCCAGAAGGGGGCACTGAATCCCCTGATGCTGGAGTTTACAGGCAGTTGTGAGCCCTCTGATGTGGGTGCTGGGAACTGAACTTGGATCTTCTATAAGGGCAATGAGTGCTCTTAACCGCCGAGCCATCTCCACAGCCCTCTGAACTTTTTTACATTTAAGTGTGCCATGGTGAGAGGCTAAAGGTCAGAGAACAACTTAGGCAGTTGGATCTCTCCTTTCATCGCACAGGTTCTAGGGATCGAACTCAAATTGTGAGGCTTGGTGACAAGCAGCTTTACCTGCTGAGCCATCTCGCCAGCCCAGAAATTAGTTTCTTTGGTGTAAGTTAGAATCCAGGCATCACCTAAGTAGAGGGTAACAATACAGCTGTTACCGACAGGTGGAAGCTACTAGAGTGTCCATAAGGAGGGAAGAGTACAAGCCTGGCTTCCCGCTCCTCCTGCTAAAGTCTTTTGTGCCACCACAAAGGGTGCAGAGGGCAGATTCCCAGGACACCAGCAAGCAGAAGAAGAACCAGGTGGGGAGAGTGGAGAACTGACATGTCACTGGCTTCTTGTTTCCATCTGCGGAGCGGGGGTGATGCTCTTTGACACTCCTGCCTTAGCATCCCCTCTCTGTGCCCCTCTCTGCATCCCCTCTCTTCGTTCCCAAGCAGAGAAGGAGGCCTGGTTCCTCCCTCCTCCCTTTTGCCTCTGCTCTAGTCCCTTTGTGACCACTAATCCAAAATGGCACCCATTCCTCTGTCCCTCCTATCCAACACATCTTCAGCTGTCTGATCCTCTGTTTCATTCCTACCCGCTTTCCTGGGCAGGCTCTGTTTTTAGTAGTATTTAGAAAATGTCCAATCCCAGAGCCTAGAAAGCAAGATCAACTGAGAACATGGCAAATACTCCTTCACCTGATCATCAGGATTTGGCAAGAATGGCTCGTAGTATTTTATTTTGTTTTGGTTTCTTGAGACAGGGCATCCAAGCTGTCCTTAGACTTGCTATGTTGCCTAGGATGACCTGGAACTTCTGATCCTCCTGCCTCTGCTTCCTGAGGGCTGGGATTGCAGGCATGCACCACCACCCGAGTGGGGTTGGAACTCTGGTCTTGGTGCTTTTTAAGGCAGGCACTTTACCAACTGGGCCACACCCCTGCTCCCATTAACCCTTTAACCATTCTCGGTCATGCAGTCCTCGCTACTGACCATCTCCAGAATTCTTTCTACCTTATAAAATCGAAACGCTGTCCCCAATGGTGACCTGCTGCCTGCTTACCAGCCCCTAGCAGCCAACACCTGCTTCCCATCTACAGATTTGACTCTTCTACATCTTTCGTGGAGGAGGAGTCACATGAGATTATGTGGCTACCTTCATTCACTTACATTGCCGTCAGGTTCATTTGTGTCATATCGCATATCATAATTCCTTCCTTTTGTTTATATACACACACACACACAAATGTATAGGTGTGTGTGTGTAGGAAACATTTTCATGTGGGTGATGTTGTAATTTAAGAAAAGGGGCACAAGAGAGCAAGACGCCATGTGACAGGGTTCAAGCGGAGGTTTTTTTTATTATTATTATTAGGGAAAGGGATCATGAAAAGGGGAAAGGGAAGGGAGGGAGACTGGCCCCGGAGACAGGAGCAGCAGGAGAGAGGAGAAAGGAAAGAGGTGGAGGGGGGAACAGACAGAGAGAGGGAGAGAAAGAGATAGAGAGAAGGGATAGGAGGTGGGCAGGGTCCTTTTAAAAGGGATCATAGGGAATGTGCACAGGTGGTGCTCTTAGTGGCTGCAGCTGAGGGTGTATCCTGTCAGAACCCCAAAGACAGGCCAGTACAGATGCCTGAATGCTAACAGGTGTGTCTTCTTTTAATTTATTATTTTATTTTATGTGCAGGAATGTTTTGCCTGCAGGTACATCTGTGCATCATACGCATGCAATGCCTGTAATGACCAGAAGAGGGCGTTGGGTCCTCTGGGACTGAGCTGGGATGAGGGAATCGAACAGAGATCCAGTGCTCCTAACCACGGAGCCATCTTTCCAGCCCATTTTGTTTTGATTGTTTTTTACCTCGGGTACTTAGTACAGACTCAGTAAATACTTTGCTGACAGAGACATCTCTTCCATTTCCTTTTTTTTCAACCTTTATTTTTTTATTTTTATTTAAGTTGTGTGTGCATGTGTATAATGTGTTTGTGGATGGCCGTGCATCATGATGTATACAGATATGTGTGCTTGCAAAAGCCAGAGTTTGATGTTTGATGTCAGGTGTTTCTCTCTCTGTCTCTCTCTCTCTCTGTCTCTCTCTCTCTCTCTCTTGCTCTCTCTCTCCCACCCTCTCTCTCCCTCTCTCTAAGGTTTTATTCTAACATACACACAAACATACATTTTTAAAAGATAGGATCTCACTATGTTTGTTTGTATTTGTTTTTTGAGACAAGATCCTACCACGTAACTCTGGCTGGCCTTGAACTCACTGCATAGACCAAGCTGGCCTCAAACTCTGCCTTTCAGGTGCTAAGATCAAAGGCATGTGGCACCATGCCTGGCTCTGATTTTTATTACTTTATTTTTATGACATGTGCACATGGTACCTATGGAGACTAAAGGTATTGGATCCCCTGGAGCTGGGATGCAGTAATTGATGTTTGTGATTCAACAGGTGTGATCACAAGGGTCCTGGGAATTGAACTTGTGTTCTCTGCAAGAGCAGCATGCACTCTTAACTGCTGGACCATCTCTCCAGTCCAGCCCTTTTCCTTCTTAAGGGAGAATGCTCCTGTTGCATGTGTCGTCTGCGTTTTGTCTTTGCCGTTGGTGGTGTTCCCCTTGCTTCCATCTCCTATTATTGTGGACAACGCTGCAGGCACTGGAGATGTCTAATCAATTACCCATCCAGGCATGCATTTGTAGTGCTTCTGGGTAGATATCGGGAAGTGAACTTTCTGGAACACCTGATAGTTTTATGTTTGGTTTATTTTCAGTGCCTGCGATGGGATCCAGGGCTCGTCACGTTATGTGTAGCTTTCTAAGGGACTTCTGCCACCATCTGCCCCAGCAGCTGCATTATTTTACAGCCCACCCACAGGGCACAGGGTTTCACTCTATCCACGTGTCACCAACTACTGTTGTTTTCTGCTTTTCCGGTGATGGGTAGGACGCTGTTTTGTAAAAGGACAAAAAAGATCACTGTAAGCAGACAGGGAAAACCCGGAGAAGGGGAGGCTGAGGCTGAGGCTGAAGGAATGAAGGCCGTTGTCAACGACGTAATACATTTGGTGCAAGACAGATACCAAGGGCTGGAGAGATGGCTCAGCAGCTAAGAGCAGTGGCGGCTCTTGCAGAGGACCTGAGTTCAATTCTCAGCACCCCTATGGTGACTCACAGCCACCTGTAACTCCAGTGCCAGGGGATACACCACCCTCTTCCAGTCTCCAAGGGCACTGTATGAACACGGTCCATATACATGCAGGCAAACATAGCTGTTTGAGAGAGAAAGAAGGATATACTGAGAGTGTATGGGAATAAGGAACTTCTCTCTGCCATGATCACAGAGAAGCCAAGGAAACAGCCCAGATGCAGGGATGGGGAGGGGGCTTAGGGACTCCAGGCATTCCCTTTTGTTTCTGTCATTTTGTCAGAGAAACAGGCAGCCAGGTAACCCACCTAAAGATGAGGGAGGAGCCAAGTCAGGGCCCAGGTTGAGAGGAGAGAGTCTATCTGGACAGTGAGTGGGTAGTGGGGAAGAGGGCTGCCTAACGAGCGGCCCCCTCCAAAGAATCTAGAGCACCCTATGACCATGTCAGGGTTGGTCCAGTGTAAGCATAGTGTCCCTGTCACTGAGATAAAGAGAGGAGGTGACTGTAGGAAATATTACAGCACTGTCTGCTTTTATGTTGGTTTGTTTGTTTTGTTTTGAGACGGGTTCTGATGCAAGGAAATCAGGTCTCAGACTTGCTATGTAGTCAAGGATGACCTTGGTGGACCACCACGCTCATCTTAACCCGAAGGGCGACTGTGGAGTCAGTCATCGGGCATAGCAGGACACACCTTTGCTAGACAGCAGGACACACAAGCACACACGCAGGCCACACCCACACCTAGCTTCTGCTCTGAGTACATGATCACAGTGGTGAGACATTTTACCAATAAGAGGTGACTTTAGCTTCTGGGGGGATGGGGAACATGCCTGGTGGGGCATGCATCTGGCAGGAACATGAGCGATTTTTTGAGGAGAGGCCCAGCTCAGTATGCTTCCAGCACTTTTACCATTTGCCTTAGTTTCTTTTCTGTAGCTACGATAAAATGTCCTGACGAAATCAGTTTGAGAAAGGGTCCAGCACAATGACATCACATCCTCAGGAGCTGGAGTCACAGACAGTTCTGAGCTGCCGTGTGGGTGCTGAGAATCGAACCCCGGTACTCTGGAAGAACAACCAGTGCTCCTAATGGAGGAGGTTTCTCCTAAGCCTCCCCCACACCAAGTGCAGTTTTTTTATTTTTGTTTGTTTGTTTTAGTTTTTCAAGACAGGAATTCTCTGAATAGCTCTGAATAGCTGTCCTGGAACTCACTCTGTAGACCAGGCTAGACTCGAACTCACAAAGATCTGCCTGCCTCTGCCTCCCAAGTGCTGGGATTAAAGGCGTGCACCACCATTGCCCTGCATAAGTAATAGCTTTTAAGTGGCGGTTCCCCTGCTGGAGTAGGTAGCTTGCTGGAAAAGCATGAAGCACACTTTAAAATGTCATGGCCTGCGTTTCAATTTGCATACTCAGGGCAGGCTGTGGGATCATGTTCCTCGCTAGATACGTGTACCTGTGCTTTGACCCATTTGGGATGTGGTTCCAGAGCTAGCCTGTCTAGCTTCCCTGTGATCATGAGGATGAAACTGTGTCTCAAAAAATAACATCAATGATTGAGTCACAATTTCTTTTTCCTTTCTTTTTCTCTGCTTGGGCTTGAAGCCAGAGCCTGGCAGAATGCAGACAAGTGCTCTGCAACTAAGCTACACCCACAGCCTTGGCATTTCAATGCTCAGCGCCAGATTCTTCAACAAAGAATTCATGAAGTTCTGGACATGGCGATGCATGCCTTTTATCCCAGCACTTTGGAGGCTGTGGCAGGTAGGACTCTTTGAGTTCAAGGCCAGCCTAGTCTACTTAGTGAGTTGCTAGCCAGCCAAGATTACATAGTGAGCCGGGCGTTGGTGGCGCACGCCTTTAATTCCAGCACTCTAGAGGCAGAGGCAGGTGGATCTCTGTGAGTTCAAGGCCAGCCTGGTCTACAGAGTGAGTTCCAGGACAGCCTCCAAAGCAATACAGAGGAACCCTGTCTTGAAAAACCAAAACCAAAAACAAACAAACAAACAAACAAACAAAAAACCATAGTCCATAGTGAGACCCTGTCTTAGCCACACCCTTACCACCCACCCTCCGCCCTCCCATCCCCCCACACAAAGAAGTTCATGAGGTTTTCTTTTTTTTTTTTTAATGCTCATGTTGTAGTGACGCCCCCAAATGTCATTTTGTTTTTTCAAGACAGGGATTCTCTGTGTAACAGCCCTGGCTGTCCTGGAACTTGCTTTGTATATTAGGCTAGCCTTGAACTGGGGAGTGTTGGCATTAAAGGCATGTGCCACCACACCTGGCCATAAAATTTATTTCATTGTTATTTCATAGCTGTAATTTTGCCACTATTATAAATCATAATGTAAATATCTGATATGTGGGATAGCTGATATGAGACCCCTGTGGGGTTGAGACGCACAGGTTGGGAACCTCTGCTCTAAGGGATCGGGGTCAAGGATGGAACTAAATCATCTCCCTCCCTCCTTGTCTGTCTGTCTGTCTGTCTGTCTCCCTTCCTTCCCCCGCTCCCTGACTACAGAGGCAATGTGGCCAGACACCTCCTGTTCCTGCTGTCCACTCAGCTTTCTCCCCCCCCCCCGCCCCGCCCCCCTTGATGGCCTGGACTCTATACACGGGAGCCAAAAAAATCCCTTTCTTCCTTAGGTTGCTTTTGTTGGGTGTTTCCTCATTGTGAAGGGGAAAGTAACAGGCGCAATACTTGACATAGTTGTGATCCCTGCTTTGACACAATGTTACAATGTATTAAACCAAGGCTTAAGCTCTAACTGGCATAAGATCTGTAACAGGTCTAGTGACAAGAACAATGCTACACTTGTCTTTTGGTTTTGGTTTTGGTTTTGAAGACAGGGTTTCCTTATATCACCCTGGCAGTCATGGAATTTGCTCTGTAGACCAGGCTTGGCCTTAAACTCACAGAGATCCTCCTGCCTCTACCTCTCAAGTGCTGGGACTAAAGGCGTGCCCACCACAGTCCAGCTTCCTTTTTTAAAAAAATCTTTCCTCCTCCTCTCTTCTTCCTCCTTTTTGAGACCAGTTCTCATGTAGCCTAGGCTATCTTTGCCCTAGGTATGTAGCCAAGAATAACTGAACTTCCGATTCATTTGCCTCTGCCTCCTAGTGCTGGGGTCACCCAATATATACAGTGCTAGGGATTGAACCCAGGGCCTCACACATGTTAGGTTAACACTCTATGCCAGCCAAGGATACTACATGTTTTTTTTAATTATGTGTATTTTATTTATTGTGTATGTGTATGGGTGTATGAGTGGAGGTCAGTCATTTCTCTTCTTCCATCATGTGGGCCTTGGGCCCTTTCCCCAGCAAGCCAACTCCCTGACCTCAAGAATGCTAGAATTTTTTGAGACAGGGGCTTACTGTGTAGTCTTGGCTGGCCTGGAACTTACGGTGTAAATCAGGGTGGCCTCTAAATCATAGAGATCCACTTGCCTCTTGCTCCCAAATTCTGGAATTAAAGATGCGCATCACACCTGGTAGAATGCTGAATTTTTAAACTTAAAAGAATTCTATTGGGACTGGAGAGATGGCTCAGAGATTAAGAGCACTGGGTGCTCTTCTGGAGGCCCTGAGTTCAATTGCTAGCAACCATATGGTGGCTCACAACCATCTATAATGAGATCTGGTGCCCTCTTCTGGCGTGTATGCAGGCAGAACACATAACAAATACATAAGTCTTTTTAAAAAATTGACTCAAAAAAAATTCTATTGGGCCGGACAATGATGGTGCATTCTTTTAATCCCAGCACTTGGGAGGCAGAGGAAGGCAGAGCTCTGTGAGTTTGAGGCCAGCCTGGTTTACAGAGTTAGTTCCAGTATAGCTAGGGCTGTTATACAGAGAAACCCTGTCTCAAAAAGAAAGAAAGAAAGAAAGAAAGAAAGAAAGAAAGAAAGAAAGAAAGAAAGAAAGAAAGAAAGAAAGAATCTATTGGGGCTAAAAGGATGATTCAGCAGTTAAGGGTGCTTGATGCTCTTTCAGAAGACTCAAGTTCAGGTCCCAGCACCCACTTGGCAGCTCACAATTATCTGTAACCCCAGTTCCAAGGGACTTAATACCCTCCTTCTTTAGAACTCCTTGAACCACACACACACACACACACACACAAATTTTTGAATCTTTTTTTAAATGTTATTAGCAACCTCCACTATCTTTTGAGGCACTGCTGAGACCCTCATGTTCCTCATGTTGTGGGGACCTCTAATCATGATATTGCTTTTTTTAGTTTTTGGGGGGGCGGGGATCGAGGCAGGATTTCTCTGTGGCTTCGGAGGTTGTCCTGGAACTAGCTCTTGTAAACCAGGATGGTCTCGAACTCACAGAGCTCTGCCTGCCTCTGCCTCCCGGAGTGCTGAGATTAAAGGCAAGCGCCACCACCATCCAGCTAATCATAATATTGTTTCATTTGCTACTGTTATGAATTGTAATGCAAATATATGCAGGGTATCTGATAGGTGACCCGCAAAGAGGTCATGATGCACAGGTTGAGAGCAACTATCCCGGGTTTCTGTATAAGCATTCTTTTTTTTTTTTCCCCCTGAGACAGGGTTTCTCTGTGTAACTTTGGAACCTGTCCTGGAACTAGCTCTTGTAGACCAGGCTGGTCTCGAACTCACATAGATCCGCCTGCCTCTGCCTCCCGAGTGCTGGGATTAAAGGCGTGCGCCACCACCGCCTGGCTAACATTCTTCAGTAAATAGAGCTGTGGTAAAATCAAGTGCAGGGTTCCTAAAGGCAACAGCATGGTGGTCACATGCCTATGGGGACTTTACCCCAGTTTAGTTGTCTGCTTAGTAACAATGTTAGTGATAATTCACAAGTTACAAATAGAGTTTGGCTGGTGATAGTGGCGCACATCTCTAATCCCAGCACTCCAGAGGCAGAAGCAGGTATAATCCTGAGTTCAAGGCTTGCTTGGTCTACACAGTGAATTTCAGGATGGCCAGAGCTACATAGTGAGACCCTATCTCAAAACAAGCAAGCAAGCAAGCAAACAAACAAAAACTAAAAAAAAGAGTATAGTTTGAGGCTGGCCATATACTCAGTTGGCTGTGCGCCTAGCATGCCCAAAGCCTCTGGATTCAAAGCCCAACACCACACACACCAGGCACAGCATAAACATATCTGTAATCCCAAAACTTGGGAAGTAGAGGCAAGAGGATACCAGGTTCAAGGACATCCTTAGACAAGGTTGATGCCAGCCTGGACTACGCAAGACCTCCCTGAAAAAATAAGATTAAATATATAAATAAAATTTAATGACATGCCTATAATCTCAGCACTCAGGAAGCTAAGGCAGAAGAATTTTCAAGTTCAAGGTGCCTGGAGTATGCGGCCAGCTTCGGTACATAGAGAGATCCTGCCTATAAACAGATAATAAACAAAAATAATGATGAAAGATGAAGATCAACTTATTTTAAATTTTTTATTGTATTTATTGCATGTATGTGAGTGCCCACATGTGCGGAAGCATGCATGTTGCACGTGGAGAGGTCAGAGGGCAACTTGCACGAGTCCTGAGCATCCATCTCAGGTAAAGCAGTCACCTTTACCCGCTGAGCCATCTTGCAGTCCAACATTAACTTATTAAAAGGGGGAGTACCTGGAGAGACGCCTTAGTGGATAAGTGCTCCGCACACAAGCACGAGGATTCAGACCTCTAGTATCCATGGAAATGCAGGGCAGGAACAGCAGCCTGCCTGTAATCCCAGCACTTCAGGCAGACTCAGGGGATCCCCGAAGCAAGCTAAACTAGCCAAATATGCAAGCTCTGGGCTTTGATGAGAGCTCCTGCCTCAATATTAGATGGAGGGTGACCAAGAGCACCCCAAATCAACCTCTGGCCTCCACACACAGACGCACACATACATGCAAAAATGCAAACATATACATACACACCACACATACATGCCACCCTCCCACACCCCACCCCTCTACCCCCCCAAACACAAACCAAAAACAGAGAGAGAGGGAAAGGGAGGTTCTAGAAAACTGCTCATCCCTCAAGAATGTGTCAGAGGTCACCACTTAAACTGTTCCCTGACCTCTCCCCTGCTCACAGAGCCCTGAGCTGGTCTAAGCACCCAGGGATGGGCTTGTGGTAGAGCCTTTGCTCAGATCCATGGTGTGGGCTTCCCAGATGGCAGAACCCACCTCCCTGCCAGAACACAGTGAGGAGGCCAGGTTCAGGTGAGAGGGCAGGAGTCAGCGGCGTGCCTGGAGACTTAGCTGACTGAAGTTCTCTCAGCGTCCACACCAGGTTCTCAGCAGGAGCAGCTGTGAAAGCGACCTGGGGTGGGGGTTCCAAAGCCATTCGCTACATGGACCACCTGGACCCCACTAACCATAGCCCCATCTCTCCTCACACGTTGGAGGTAGGCCAGCGGGACCACAGACAAACCCCAAAGCAGCCCCGAGACACAGCCAGGGATCAGTGTACAAAACAACAACAAAACGCATTTATAAGCAGGGCTTAAGTCCGTCCAGCATAAAGGGCAAATGCTCCTTAGCACACCCGGTTGGAATCCACACAACACCCAGACAAGGTCCCTTCAGTTCCTGCTTTTGTTGCCTACGAAGCCCGAGGTCATCCCAGGACTGGCCACCAGGGCGCAGACGTGTTCCATAGCCTCTCCTGTCTGAATCACTGCAGAGACCTAACCAATGGGTCCCATGGAAGTCTTGATTCCAGAGGGCTGAGCTTTTGAATCTCCATGGTAACAGACTTCCTATAGTTCAACTCCCAACTTCATATCCAACGGAATCTGTGAACATGGAATCCAAGCACCTGAGACTGAACTTGCCTCTTGAGTCTCCTGAACCATTTCCTTCCAGATCTGGGCATGCTAGGGGAACGTGCTGATTAGAGAACGGGTACCAATCCTTCGGCATAACTGCAGGCTTCGGCTGCTTCCGGATGGGCTATTCAACTGATGCCCTGAGCTGTTCCAGCCCATGACACCTAAGACAGACATTCACTCAGGGTCACAGTGGGTACAGTACCAAGCAGTTGGAGAGTCAGAGGGAGTAGTCCAGGCTGAGGTAGGAGGAGGCAGGTGGCTGCAGGGGCCTGGGACCTCTACAGTCCCTGAGATTCCCTGAAGGGAAGGCATGGCCTTGGAAGGGCTCCTTAGAAGGCCAGGAGGAGGAGCTGGAGCCCTCCGTGTGCCCACTGGAGTGACGGCCAAAGGCAGAGGATGCAAACCAGCTGTTTGCTGTGTGCGCTTACTTTCTCACTATGGAGCTGGGGATCGAACCCAGGGCGTGCTAACCGCACACTCTACCACTGAGGTACAGCCCCAGCACCCTGCCCGCCGGGGCCTCTGCGCCTCTGATTCTTGCATCAAAAGGGCGGTGGTGGGTTTGGAAGGGTTACTTCCCATGAGTCCAGCACTAACCTCAAGGGCCCCTGTGCCCTATGAGGCCACCACTTCCTCCTTTCTGCTGGGACTGCCCTGTGGTATCAGCAGCCAGGCTGAAGAGCGACACTGTCCTTTACCCAAGTGTTTGGAAGAGGATGTTAGCTCCTGGGAGGGAAAGCGAGTGGGGCCTCTCAGAAGCCAGAATCAGGCAAGAGCCCAGGAGATCCAGAGGTCACAGAAGAGCAAGGACTTGCTGGGACTGCCCCACAGAACACCATGGCAGAAGTTTTCCACCACAATGGTTGCCTCAACCCTCACTTGACCTGCAAGTGGAGCTGGGGAGGCCACTAAGGGAGATGGGCCCAGAAAGGGTCGTTAAGTCCTGTGGGCTGAGGGTCTAGAAGAATTGGGAGTCCATTTACAGGGGGTTGCCCCTGCAGGGATCAGGCCACTTTGGCTGCAACCTGGTCACACCAGCCTGGTTGGTTCGGCTTCATGCCCACATCAGGCACACCAAGGGGCAAGGGCTTCTCATGGCTCTGCAGTGTCTCTGGGGTGTCCCACCGGGACTGAGAAGGACACTCCTCCTGGGAGAAGGGAACCTGCTCGTCCTTGGGGGATCCTGAGGGGTTGGCATCTGGGTCCCCTACTGTGGTGCTGGCTTGGGAAGAGCACTGTGAGCTGTGGTCAGGGCTACTGCAGACATTCACAATGCAGGTGACATTGACATGGGTCCCATGGCTGCCGTGGGAGGAATCTGCAAAGCACAAGATGGGGGGGGGCATGAGTCTGGGGGTCTTGGTGTGGGGGCGTCTTTGCATGTTTGCTTCTTGTCCTGGAGGTAGATCGAGACTGTGGGAGAAAGCGGTTAAGTCGAGGACCAAGAGGCCAAAGATTCTAGTTCACTTCTAGTGTGGCCCCAGACACATGGTCGACCCTCGCTGTGCCTGTTCGCTCACCTCCCAGCTGCCCAGCCCAACTCTCCATGTAGCCGACAGGAGACCATTATCTAAGTCAGGCAAAAGTGCTCCAAGAAGAGCAAACCCTGGGCTGAGGCGATGGCTCAGCTAGTAAAGCGTCTGTCTTGCAAGCACAAGGACCTGGGTTCAATCCCCGAGAACTCACATAAAGAGGCTGGACGTGGTGGTAGGTGGCAAGAACCTGTTCCCCCAGTACTTGGGAGGTGGAGAAAGGGAGACAGCTGGGGCGTGCTGGCCAGCCAGCCTAGTCTAGTTGGTGAGTTCCAAGCCAATGAGAAACTTTGTCTTAAAGGAGGTAGATGGTGTCCCAAATATGATACCTAGGCTCATTAGCACACCTGTACCCATGTACCCATGTGACGAGAGAGAGACAGAGACAGAGACAGAGAAAGACTAGGAATGACATCGTGGGGCGGGGCAGGAATACTCCACACGTGATATGGGAGACTTGAAAGGCAAAGCGGGAGTCTCTGGCAGTGAACCAGTGAGAGGACTAGACGCAGAGCAAGGCAGGGCCGAACCTAGAATCCGCAGTGGCTGTATTGCCCAGGAGCAGGGAACAGAAGTAAGCTGTGGGCAGCCAAGGCTAGCCCCACAGGGCAACTCCAGGACACCAGCAGAGATTAATTAGGCAAGCAATGCACACGAGCCTGACTTACAGAGGTCTGACTCGAGATTTTGCAGCTGTGGGAACACGAGCCACACGTTCCTTAGAAGCTCTGCTTAGTTTAAGCACTGTGAGCCTGGACCCTTTCCGGAACCAGTGAAACGCAGTAGGCTCCCCTCCCAGGACAGGCAGAGGCTCAGAGCCACAGCTCCCAGTCATCAAGGCTGCCAAGTATGTTAAGGACGGGTAATTTCCAGCTAGTGGGTGGAGAACCATCTATCTGCACAGGGCGGGAGGGAGCCAGCTGGTTCCTGCCTCTTACCTGAACTCCTGGAGCCTGCACAGGCCTCCTGAGACCCTTGGGCTTCCTCCGTGACTGTGGCCTGGGGCTGGCTCCTCAGGGGCGCCCTCCTGTCCCCAGCACTGGCTGAGCTCTCCAGGGAGCTGCTGCTGGAACTGGGGGCTGTGGTCAACAGGTGCTGCTGCTCTAAGCCTGTGGCATCATCCCGGGACTTCTCTTCGGGCAGGCGAGGCTGGGAGGAAGAGGGAGACTATTAATCCACCTGCTGGTGTCTTCACCCTCCTGTCACCCCATCACACGCACTCCACAGCTTACACATTTCTGCCCAGGCCACACATTGTTCCCATACCCTCAGTCCACATGAGGAAACGGAAAAAATCGACTCTCTGAAGTCATCCATCAGGGTAGAGAGATGTACCCAGCCTAGTAGTTAAGAGTTGAATTCTCAGTCCAGATCGCCTGAGTTCATAACCCTACCACTCACTTGCTGTGTGGTCTTGAAAAAGTTACCTAACCTCTCTGGACCTCCATGCTTCCATATATAAAGGAACAATTATAGCTTATGTCTAGGATTGTTGGGGAAACTGAACATCTGGGAATTTCGAGGATAGTTGTGTAATAAGTCCTGCACAAGATACTATTTATAAGAACTTAGCAGAAGGACCACTCACAGGGTGGCACAGCCTGCCAGCCAGGAATGACCTTCATGCTTTTAAACAGTTCCAATAAAAAAACGAAGACAGTAACATTTCTCTTTTTTTTAAAGTCTTGTTTTTATTTTAATTGTGTGTATACATTTTTGTCTTAGTGTGAGTAGGTACACATGTGTGCAGATGTCTTTGGAGGACAGTAAGGGGCATCGGATCCCCTGGAGCTGGAGTCACAGGTGGTTGTTGTAGTGACCAGTCCCCCATTTTAGCAGCCATGACAGGCTAACAGGTGCTTGCATGACCTTGACGCTCCTGTCCTGGTCGCTAAGGTCAGATGCCCTCGTGGCAAGGAGCCAATCAGAAGTTAGCTGGCGGGGCTGCACTTTATGACTCTGGGTGTGCTTTATGGACAGCGCACAACAGTGACGTACAGAGCATAGCAACCGCCCTGGGAGGGCCTATGGGTCATAACAACCAGTTGACCAATCAACACAGGGCGGGTCACCCAAACCTGGAAGCGCACCAATCCTGGGACTGTTTCATAACTCCTAGACACTCCCCTTACGCTGCCCTTTAAGATCCCTGCCTCGAGGTTGCTCGGGGTCTTTCTCCAGCCATCTGTCATGGTGGTGAGATGAGGGGCCCGAACTAATGGGTTAGCTCGTTAAATAACTTAAAGACTCTTTGCTTTTGTGTGGAAATGGGCCTCTTGGTGATTTTGGGGTTCAGAATTTGGGCACAATAGTTATGAGTCATCCAATGTGGGTACTGGGAACTGAACTCACGTTTTTTGCAAGATCAGGAGGGACTAAAGACTATGCACAGGTCTCCTGGGTTCGGTCCCCAACACCGCATAAGCAGTGTGTGGTGGTATATGTCTGCACACCCAGCATAATTGAGTGGGAAGGTTGAGGCAGGGGCATCAGAAATTCAAAGCCATCCTCAGTCAGTGCTCAAGGCCAATATGGGCTACAGAAGTCCCTGTCTAAAATTCCCCAAACCTAAACTATGAGTTTTAGTGCCCATTAAACAAGTTTGATGCAACCAAGCCACCATCACTGTTTAGTTGCAAGGGTGCCTTTCCTGATTTACAGGCAGGTCTAGGTAGCTGTCCCAGAGGCCCGACTTGGTCCTTGAAGCTTGACACCTTTACGCTATGTTCCTTCCAGTCGATGAATCAGCCCAGTTCATGGAGCCCTTCCCCCCAGGCAACTCACTAGCCCATCTCAGCCCCCCCTCCCCCCAGTTCACCCAAGGATGTCCTGTGGCTTCCCTGTGGCTTCTTACAGAATGATAATGGCAAGACCTTACGTGACCTGAATACCTAGTGACAAATACTGCACCTGAGTCACAGCTACCTCAGCTCTTTCAGGAGCTTAGTCTAGCCTAGCGCCACCCTGGCTCTGCAGATGTGCAGACCAGATTTCTTGCCCGAGGTCACGGTTAGGATACAGTGCGGTAAGCAAAAACTCACCATGCTTTTTTTTTTGGAGTGTCTGGGGTTTAGCTCCATAGCAACCCATGTGGAGGACACCTGGAAATCCATTCCAAGGCCACTGTCTGTCCACACCAGCTGGAAAAGTGGCCAGGCCAGGGCTGGGACCCTCTGGCCTTCCTCCAGAGGGAGGCACACTGTCAGGTATAATCTACGCAGAAGCAATAGTCTGGCTATCCTTCCTGTGGGTGGTGCACTCACTAGAGAGTCATTGATGGGTGTTGGTGGCACACGCCTTTAATCCCAGCTCTTGGGAGGCAGAGGCAGGTGGATCTCTGTGAGTTCGAGGCCAACCTGGTTTACAGAGAGTCACTGATATGCCATCTGGGGGCTCTGCCCACTATTGCTATGGCTTTCCTAGATACCCATATGTGTCCTAAGGTCTCGATTCCTGCCCAGTCCACAGCTTCTCACTCTGGACTAGAAGGATCCTGTACAGGCTGTCCCCATGAGGCCACCAAAGCCCACAAAAGGTGACTCCTCAGAATCAGATAGCTGGCTGATGGGCTCAGCAAGATCACCCAGGCCAGCATGTGCACGAAACACATGCTGCATCCTCCTGCCTCCCTGGGGATCCTGCCAGCCAGGTACCGTAGTCGGGAAGGGATGGAGGGCATTCTGAATTCATAGTCTGACCTTGGGCACCAGTCTTACCCTGTGGCCCTGCAGAAGCATTCATAAATGTCACACTCACCAGCTCCTGAGAAGGACCCTTTTTTCGGGGCCTCCCCCTCTCTGCCTGTGGCTAGAGTCAAGCAGAAAAAAAAAACCAAAGGTCACAGCCACCTCCCAGCTCAGAGCCACAAGCTGCAATGTTCAAGTAACTGACACCGCCGCAGTCATGTGACTCAGGCTGGGACCCCACTGAGTGAGCACCAAGGACCTCTGCTTGCCCGACACCTCCTACATTTCTGGGTCTGGCCCTGTTATACGGAGCTGGGACTGACAGGGGCATGACTGGCTCCCACAGGCTTTAGAGCTAAGGGCGTCTCTATGTGTGGGTTCACGTGGGCATGCCTGAGATTGGTCCAGTAACTGTGTGCTAGGACATGAGATGCACGCCTAGTTTCTCTTCCAGGCCGTGCCCATCAGCTGTGCCACCTCAGGACTGTTAGCATTCAGGCACGCGTACTGGCCGGTCCCTAGGGGTTCTGACAGGATACACCCTCAGCTGCAGCCACTAAGAGCACCACCTGGGCATATTCATTACTTTTCCTTTTAAAGGGCCACGCTCACCTTCCGTCCTCCTCTAGTTCTCTCTTTCTCTCTCTCCCTCTCTCTCCCTCTCTCTCTCTCTCTCTCTCTCTCTCTCTCTCTGTCTGTCTGTCTGTTCCCTTCTCTGCTTCCTCTCTGTCCCTCTTCCTCCCCCCCTCCCTCCCCCCTTTCCTCTCTCCTGCTGTTCCTGTCTCCGGAGGCTGATCTCCCCCCTTCCCTTTCCCCTTTTTATGATCCCTTTCCCTAATACTACTAATAAAAGACCCCTCTTCTTGAACCCTGTCGCATGGCGACTTTCTCTCTGTAAATCTGGGGGCAGCAGTCACACAGACCGTGTCACAGACAGTGCTGGCACGAGTTCAGTACCCGATGACTGTTGGTGACTAAACACAAGGCCACGTGCATGAATGGGGGCAGCATGGATGAATTCACCTGCTGCTTTTCTAAAGGATGCTACTTTCCCAGCCCACAGATGAGGAGCTGAGTCACCTACTCCTGGTCCTGCCTGATGGCCTCACTCCAGCACATGGGGACACCGTCCACTGCCCCCCCCACCAGGCCGGTGGCTGACAAGGTACAGGGCTGAGCTAAGGGTGGTATTTAGGCTCTCCAACTCCTGGTGACCAACTCTGGAGAGCAGGCCCTGCTGGGAAAGGCCTGTTTGCGACAGCTTTGTATGTGTATACCAAATCCACCTGCTCAGAGGCTTTGAGCACCAGCACTTAGCACAGACCTGACTCTTTAACCCTTTTAAGAGTGACAGTAGCTCTCAAGCCTATGTTTCCTCATCTATATAATGAGGAGTGGGGGTGCCCTACCCATGGGGACCAGTGAGGAGTCAGGAATATTGTTTAAGGAAAGAGCTGACCTGTTTCTTCCCAACCGGCATGTAGCTAGATTTCAGCTGACCCCGAGGGAGCATTTAAACTCCTGTTCTCCCAGCTATTGGGTACAGGTATGCACCACCATACCTGTGGTATGGTACTTGTATGATGACCTAGTGCCCTAGAAAAGGAACTGGAAAGGGAAGGGGAGGATGAGGGGGATCACAGGGGATACTCACCACCTTGGCTTCTCTTTGTAAGCAGGAGGGCTTCTCTACAAAGAAGAGAGAGGGACAAGTCAAGAGCCGGGCATCAACACATCTGTCCTAATGGGCACATCGTGGCTAGGATCAAGCTGGTGGAGTGGACCCAGGCGGCCCAGGGAGTATCTGCCTGCCAGGCAAGGCCCACAGATGAGCCCATCTTACTCTTAGCCACTATGCCCTGCCGCCCCCCCCCCCCAACCAGCCTGTGCCTCAACCATACTCCATCCATGGTGAACCAGCCCAGCTCACAGAATCCTAGAGACTTCAGTCCCCTGGGATAGCCTTCCAGTGGACAGGTTAGAGGATGTACCTTCTGCCCTGGCCTCTAAGCTCCTAGAGAACAAGCGACTATAGTCTCTAGATCCATTTGAGACTATGATAGTGTAGCGTTCTGTACTAGACAGCCCTCCCCCAGACCTGCGGCACCCAGAAAAGCTGTGAGGGGGAGCAGGGAGGCTGGAAACAGGGAGGGAGAAGAACCTCACTTTTCTTCTGCACCAGGATGAAGCAGTTCACCAGCCCTAACACCAGCAGACCCAGAGTTGTCACGCCAACGATCAGACCTAGGAAGAAGGCAGAGTATTCAGAAACTGAGAGCATCAAGTCCAGCCTGAGGTCTTCAGATTCAAGGATAAACCAAAGATGAACATCTGTGAACCACATGCAGCCAGACGGCCACAGGCTGGGGCCTCCGTCTTGGTGCCAAGCTAAACTCAGGAGGGAAGCCAGAAATGCTACCAGTCCACCGTCTCGTAAGCCAAATGGGATCATGAGAACCAGCAACCAGAACCTGTGTTCATGCTCATCCCACCCAGGGATTCCCTGTAACAACATCAGGCCTTTAGAGACCCAGCTCCTCCACACCTGTATCCGCTCTGAAGGGCAGAGCCCAGGCTCCCAGGTTTGCCCACAGGGAACCTTCCAGAAGCAAAAAAGGAGAGAGGAGAGAAAGTGCCTCTTTTTATACTTTATTTTATTTTTCTTGTGTATTTAATCCCAGACTAGTCGAGCACTCTCTCACTGGATATATCTTTATTAAATGTATTTTTTATTTTGAGACACTAAGTCACTCAGATTAACCTTGAATTCATTCTATGGCTCAGGTTGGCCTTGAACTTGCCATTCCCCTGCTCCAGCCTCCTCAATAGCTCAGACTGTGCCCTTGCAAGCCTACACGGGTCACTCTGGAGACGGGGACTCACCAACTGGAAGGGAGATGCCACCGTTGGTGCTATGTTGACTTTTGGGGGTCGAGATCTCAAAGGCAGAGTTGGTGGGTGGGGTTTGGCTGAGTTCTGGCTCCGGCTCCAGGGGCTGGGATCTTGTGGGCTCTGGCTGAAACATGTAGACTGTCCCCGGGATGGTGCTCGGAGTTGGGGACTCGGGTGCACAGACTGCGTCTCTGCTTGTGTTTCCAGGAATGGCAAGGATGCTACATCTGGGGGAGGAAGGGTTTTGTCAGGAAGCCACAGAGGACAGTGACCTTATTCCAGGGCACCGGGCTAGAGGACAACATGTCAAGAGCCGAGCAGTGAGTATGAGCCATGGTGCATCAGCAGAGCCCCCCCCCCATGCCCACCTTCTACCCAATCACCCTACCCAGCCTTGCCTCTGGGTCAGGCTCCTGCTCGCATCATCCAATGTCTGTCCCAGAATCCAGCCCCAGAGACAATGGTGACAAGCGGTCCTATATCCTGGGCCCCAGTCACCCAGGGGTCACCCTCCCTGCTCTTTCAGAACCCAGGAAATCAATACTCACATGCGGTGGGGCTTGCACATATCTGTGGATGATGTGGTGTCAGAGAATGTCCCTGGGGCACAGGGCTTGCACACCACGTTCCCGTTTGCAGATCCTTGAAGAGAAAATCCAGAGCTTGGTCAACAGCATGAATACTTCATGCAACGGGGGGGGGGGGGTCCTAGCACTGGGGTCACAAGGGAGGCCTGTTTGTAACTATCTCTCCCTTACCACACATACACACATATGCACATGTACCAGCATCTGTACACATGCACATACAATAAACACACATGCATATACACACGTGCCCATACACCTACATGGACCTGCTCCCCCAGGGTTATCTTCCTGTCCCATCTGATTTCCTACCAGCTTAGGGCTTAGTATGACTCATGTCTGGATCTATGTTAGACCCTAATGCACAGCAGGTGCCTAACCGGGGGGGTGCTGGTAGACATATACACAAATGCTCAGTTCCTAGATGAGGCTGAGAGGTCTATTCCTGTGACATCTCTGGGGTGTTCATGTGTGAAAGAAAGAGGGGTCCTTACTTGTGCCGGCCACTCCGAAGCCGGGGCCACACTTGCTCAGCCTAATGCACTGTCGACAGCTGTCGGTGTTCGTCGGCAAGGCGCAATACATATCAGCTTTGCAGGTGCACACACGGTTCTGCTGTCTGGTGCAGGCGCGGATCTTCACCTGGTCTGGAGGCGGGAAGGACAGCCAGGGTCATGTCTACCTCCACCCACCTGCCCTGCCCTGCCTGCCAGAGCTGGTCGGCCCCTCGGCATAGGCCCAAAGGACCCTGCCCACATGTCCCCCTGGGCTGTTGTCTGTACTCCCAGCTTCACCACAGTGAGAACATACACTTCTACTTTCCTAGGTTCTACACGCTCAGCTCTGACACAGAAGTGTCCTCTCCCTCCCCTCCTCCCACCTCGGAGACCAAATGAAGACTTGGTGGAACCTAGAAGGAAACCTCATCTGTAAGTGGCCCCGCAAGGCGTCACACATTTGTAATCCCAACACTGGGGAAGTTAAGGCAAAGGATGACTGTGAATTTAAAGTTAGCCTGGCCCTAGTAGAAAGTTCTAGGCCAACCTGGGCAACTTAGCAAAGACCCATCTCAGAAAAACACCAAAACAGCCCAGTGGTGGTGGTGGTGGTGGTGGTGGTGGTGGCAGCGGCGGCAGCAGCAGTGGCGGCACACACCTCTAATCCCAGCACTCAGGAGGCAGAGGCAGGCGGATCTCTGTGAGTTCGAGGCCAGCCTGGTCTACAGAGTGAGTTCCAAGACAGCCAAGGCTACACAGAGAAACCCTGTCTTGAAAACCAAAAACAAACAACAGTAAAACAAAACAAACAAAAAACCCTGAATTGAAAGCTGTGTCTGGAGGGCTCAGGCCTGTAATCCCAGGAAGCTGAGGCAGGCAGTTAAGTTCAAAGCCAGCCTGAGCCATTGAGCAAGATCCTGTCTCAAAAGTAATGGACTTGGGAAGGATGTAGCCTAGTGATAGAGTACCACAAGCCTTCTGTCCAATTCCCAAAAACCACAAATAAAACCAGAGTGGCCCACTGAGAACACTGGCTGTCCTTGCAGAGGGCCTGGGTGCAGTTCCTAGCACCACATGGTGTCTGACAAAGGTCTGTAACTCATCCCAGAAGATCTGATGCCCCACTGTGGCCTTTGTGGGCGCTACATACCAGCAAAAGTACCCCATACGCATACAGTAAAAATAAATCTATTTTTTTTTATTTAAAAGGAAGACATGAGGATTGGTGTGGCACAGCTGAAAAGTGTGTGTATTACCCGCATGAAGCCCCAGATTCCAGCCACATGAATACACAGGTAAAGAAAGAGCAAGCCCAGCCCAGCCACTCAGGTCCAGGGAGATGAAAACAACTGGCCCAGGGTAACTCCTTGCTAGGCCGCAGGACTAGCGGTCAGGGAAGACGCTGGGACCATCCCGCTCGGGCAACTCACCGTCACTGCAGCGAGAACCACAGCTGAGGCACGTGGAAAGCCTGTTCCAGAGCTTGGTGTACGTGCCCTCCTCGCAGTCAGCACACACGGTGTCTGAGGTTTGGGTGCAGAATTGTTTCACGTGCTGGCCTGAGAAAACAAGGACCGAAAGTCTCAGCAGAAGACCTGAGATGCCGGGGTTCTGAACCCTAGCCAGGACGCGCCTCTGATGGAACATCAGCGCCTACATGGGCTCACCACACATCTGCCGGACCCCAGCCGTCTCCACCTCTGAGCACACCTCCCTCTCTGCTCCCTCCACTAGGAAAAAACGTACTGTCAGTCAGAAACACTTCAGAAAGAACTGGTTTGCCAACCCCTGTCTTCTTGGTGGTTGGTTCAAGTTCTCTACTCTGGTGTATGAACTACAAGGAAAAGGTGGCAACAAGGATCTCACTCCTAGTAGCCCGTCAGCGCCAACGGCATGGGGTTCCTAAAGTCTGGGGGATGGGAGAGCACCAGGGCAAACCTTTACCCTGGTGTTTGTTTTCTCTTCCGAAGCCAGATCCTCTCCCTCTTCCTTTTCTGCCAAGCTCACTGCTATTCTAAGCTTGTAGCTTCTTAGACACTCTTCTAGTCAGTAGAAAAGTCACTGTCCCTGGGGTCTCTCAAAGTGACTGTGGAGGGTGACATGTACACGTGCCCCTGTGTTCCATCCCACTGGGTCTCAAGCAAATGGTACAAAGCCTCCAGTAAATAAAATCTGAATTCTTCATGGTGACTCTGCTCATCTTGCTTAATCAAGTGAATACTATTATTATTATTATTAGTGTGTGTGTGAATTAAGTGAATACTATTATTATTATCATTATAATAATTATTATTGTGTGTGTGTGTGTGTGTGTGTGTGTGCGCGCGCGTGTGTGGCCTGTTTTCCACCGTTGGTTCAGGGCGTCCACCTCAGGTCCTGAGGCTTGCACAGCAAGCGTGCTTGCACACTGAGCCATCTCAGCCACCCTCCCCATCCCTTCTCCCATCACACCCTCGTCTTTCACTCTGGGCCACACACAGCAGCCTCAGGCTCCTTGAGTCCCTGAACAGACCCCCGCATCGGGGCCTCCCACTCACTTCCTGGCCTGCTCTCCCCTGTATGCCCGTGTCAGTTGCTCTCTGTCCCTCTTGCAGGGCGCAGACAGACCTTCCTGGACCACCCAGCCTCATCTGGAGCACACAGCCTGGTCTGTCTCCATCAGCCTGGTCTAGCCTTCCCTCCGCCACAGCACTTCCTGGCAGACAGCAGCACACCATCTGTCTCTTAGGTAATTTGTGTGTCCTCCACTAGGAGCAGACATGGGCTGGAGAGATGGCTCAGCAGTTAAGGGCGCTGGCTGCTCCTCCAGAGGACCTGGGTTAGACTCTCAGCAAGCATCTGCATTGCCAGTTCCTAGGACCTAATGCCCTCTTCTGACCCCCAAGGGCACCGTACGAATGTGACATGCAGGCAATACAACCATATGTGTAAAATACAAACAAACAAATAAATCTTACTTAAAAAAAAAGAAATAAAGTAGGATGGGGATCAGGAATATCTGCCTGCACCCTGTTAATAAACGCAGCGGATTGGACACATAATAGGTGCATTGTGAATGCTACTCATGTGACTATACACATTTGATGGGCTACTCAGCCCTGAGGGCCAGCTACTCAGTCCTCTGCACTGGGGCTAGGGCTCAGATCCACCATCTATGAAATGGGTCCACATTCATTCACTTGATAGTTATGCACAGGACACCTATATGGGCCAGTCACGTGCTGGGGAATTCCACAGAGACCAAGCCACAGTCTCTACTCCAGAGGAGCACACAGTAGGGCTACGGGAGGAACCGGGCTGTCGTTGCAGTATGGATCAGGCTTCTTGGACGAGGAGACAGTGTCTAAAGTGTAGGTGTGTATTAACCAAGAGGAGGAATTGAGAAATGTGCCAAGCAGGGGCGACAGCATCTGCAGAAGCCCAGGGCGAGATGACAAATGGGCCCTAGAATGTACGTCCCCACAAGCAGCCCAGCGAGAATCGAAGGCCCTCTTCCCCATCCCTGGACAAGCACTGTCTCCATGGCACCACAGTCCAAACACCCGGCATCTGCCTCTCACCAGGCGGACACGCAGCACAGCACATCTGAACCTTCTTGTTGTAGTATTCCTTCGTGTCCCGGCACGTTTCCCCAGGTTCTGGCATGTAGGGTGTCAAGGGAACCTGGAAGAGAGCAAGTGAGGCAGCCATCAGCACAGCGACTCTGGGCTCCGGAACACCTGTCCCCAGGCCTCGTGGATGGGCTCTTAGCTTTGGGGGAGGAGGAAGGCTTGAGAAAGTAGAGTCCTGGCCTTTTCCCTTCTTGGCAGGGCACACTTGTGTCTGCAGGGGGGCAGGTGCTGGACCAGGGAGTGGGTTACTTCAGGCCTTCCCTCTTGCTGGGTGAGTCCCAGTAGGGTTCAGAGAAGATGCAGTTTTTGAAGACAATGGCTTTGGCCACAGAGACAAGGTCCTCCACACATAGCTGTTCTCCTTCTAGGATGCCTGTCTGTCTGTCCCTCTGTCCTTCTGGCTGAGGTCTGCCTCCTCCCAGAAGTACCCCCTGACTCCCCTGGACCCAATGTAGGTTCTTCCTCCTCTGGGCTCTCTCTACATAGATACAGCCCCTCCCAACATTGATGCCATTGTTCTGATGTGGCTCTAAGTTTCCTTGCACTCCCATCCACGCATACGCATGTAGGTGTACACACACATGTTCACATGCTGACACCTATGATGCAAAGAGCAGAGGCAGTGACCTTGTCACCTCTAGACTCAAGCTGCTGACATAGGCCATGGCAGAGCTGCCTCAGGAAAGGAATACAGGATGGAAACAAACCTATGGGCTGGGAAGGTTTGGACCAGAGGGGGCCCTGGCCCTACCAGGAAAATGGCCTCAGCATTGGCTAAGAACAAGTTTTCAATTAAGAGGCAAAACCTTTTCCTCAAACCAGGACCAACACCCATACTGTTTGGCTGGCAACCATGTGGCCCGGTTGCCACATCCTGCTGCCCCACCCTCTTGCCTGAGAGCCTTCTCCTGTCACAAGAAGCTATGCCTCAGGCTCCGCTTCCAGAAACTGAACCTGAGATGAGTGTATCATTGCAGTTCAACAACCAGCCAAGACAGACCATGACTGACTATAGACAGGAGACAGGAGTATAAGGAGGGTTGACCACCCACCTGAGGTCCCAGAGTTAGTGGCAGAGATCTGAAACTGGGTCCTGTCTGCCTCTCTTGCCCATGTTTTCAATGGCTGTGCCAAGTACCTCCATGGAGAGACCACAAAGTCGGGAACGGTGGGGAGAAGGAGCTCAAGAGATGTCTCGGTGGTTAAGAGCACTTGTCAGTCTTGGAGAGGACCTGGGTTCAGTTCCCAACACGGCTGCTCCCAACTGCCAGCAACTCCCATTCCCAGGGGGTCTGACTCTACCTCTAAGTCGGGTACATTCACATTTTTAAAAATAAATAATTAAGAAAGACAAGCCAGGCAGACAGATGGGGAAGAAAGAAACGGAAAACAGCACCCACGTGGCACAGAACCAGCGGTGACAAACGTAGGCCCCTCCCTCGGATCTCCAAGTGGCCCTGGTAAGTGTGCAGCAGCAGCGACTGTCACCCCTATGCCTGTCCCAGAGCCCTGGAGACCTGCCTGAGCTCCAGCCTTCCTGCCAAGAGTTGCGGTGGCCATCTGAGAGCTTAGGGACAAGCGTGAGTTAGCCGCTTCTGCAAGGGCGTGAGTTCATGAGCAAACACGGGAGTGGATCTACAATCATAAAGAGCGTGTTTGCGCTCACCCAGCGTCCTTGAGAGTTCCTGCTGACGTCACCTGGAAATGACCAGGGAGGGGGTGGTTCTAGGTCAAAGTTGAGGGCTGGTTTATACTCTTTATTTGTACCAACAGCTTCCACCACACGGTCAATGGGAGCTCAGTGAGCGTTTATTGAAGCGGTACCGGTGGTGGCAAGTTCTCAGACAGAGAGTGAGAGTTAGAGACAGTTTCATTCTCTTGTTCTACCGCTAACCAGCTGTAGGATCCTAGGCAAGCGTCTCCACCTCTCTGGACCTCAGTTCCTGACTGAACTCCATGGGAGCAAGGGATCTGACAACTAGCAACACAACAAAGGCACAGATCAGTTCCCTTGAACAGCAGCTGTGGACAAGTCGTCTATCAGAGAAGGCACCCACCATAATACTGGGCTCATCTGGTCGGTATAGACCGGACAAGTTCCTAGGATCTGTGGGCTGTGGCCCCGCCTTCTGCCTTCCCTCCTCATCCCAGCACTGTCTGGGGAGCATCACTACCCTGCCCAGCAGGGAGTAACAGGTAAGCTGTTCCCTAGTGTTCTTCCCTGATCAGCTAATAAGCCATTCGGTGATAACAGCTGGAAGCCACCGGGCTGGGACTCAAGGGACTGGAGTTCCCTGATGTGGACAGTCTTCGGTTCTTCTGCTCCTGCCCGGTCCTGCTGTAACTGTCTCGTGCTCCCTCGAGCTAAAGTCCACACAGAGTGCATCACCTCTGCAGGCCACTGCCCAGGCCCTGCCTGGATGCACAACCCAATGCAGATCCCTTCCTTGTTTCCACGCTTACCCAGTACTCCCAGATTGGTGTGCAGGAGGTGTCCCGGGGCCACAGTGTGAGCTGTTCTACCCAGAGCCACACGGAAAAGGGAGACCGGCAGTAATTCCAATATCATTTCCTGGAGGAGGAGGAGAGGCCCTCACCTGGGCACTAGGGCCAAGAGGCCTGATCAGAAATGCACCTGCCATCCTGGCCTACTTCTGAGTCATCCCCCACCCCCAGAGCCATCTTCCCAGGGAGGTCATGCAGGCAGCTGGGTGAGGGAAGCCTCACAGCCAACCATGCTGGGTACCCAGTCTGAAAAAGCCACCGCAGGTCCTTCTGGACAGGGGCACGCACATGCAAGTACATGCACACACGTGCGCACACACGTGTGCACACACTATCCTGACACTTTGCTCCCCCATTTCATGCACTATGGCTGAGCACTGACTATAAGGGTGTCCCATACTGTCTGGGGCCTCCCTGCCCGTGTGCAAGGCAAAGGGTGTCAGTGGTGTTGCCCCCTCTATACCTACGGAGGAGTCTCAGGGGTAGGGGAGGGTCATACTGCTCCAAAAGAGGAAAGGAAAAATAAGAAAGAACTCTCTCCAGGCAGACGGGGGGGGGGGGAGGGGGACACAGGGATGGGACTGAACCCTGGAAATCATGGTGTCATAGTTCTTTTTGCACCTACCATTCCACAGAATGCTAACTGACACAGAGGGCCCGAGTGTCCCCCACAAAACTCCCAGACTAGTCTCCCTGGAGAAACCGTCTCGTTAACTCAGTACCTTCTCCTTCACCCCACTCTCTCCACTTCCTCAAACAGCAGCCTCCCTCCCCACAACCAGGGGCTGGATCTCATGGGAACCCTATCCCTGCCAGTCCCAGGGTTTATCTCTTCCAGTATCCTGGGGGGGTAGTAACCAGGAGAGCCCCTACCTCATCTGGGGCCTGGGCGGCTTCTAATTGCCCAGAGAAACACTGGGAAAGGGCCTTGCCTCCGCCAAACTGGGCTGTCTCACTGACCCGCCAATGGACAAGCGCTCCTGGTAGCCAGCTGGACCCCATGGCCCTCAGCTCCTGCCTTCCAGGGCCCTCCTTGCCACCAGCTTCATTATGAATAAGGTCTCTGGTGCTTTCTCCTCGGCTATGTGTGATCCCAACCCCAGCGGCTGGCATAGGGGCCCAGCCCTCCCTCAACAACCTCAAGGCCTGTTTATTCTCTTGGACAGGGAAAAAAAAAAAGAAAAAAAGAAAAAAATATACCAAACCACAACCTCGTCAGGGCTAAACAATGAGGAACAGAAAGCCCCTGCACAATGCAAACAAAAGGTCACTCCCACTCGGGGCGCTCCCCAGAGCCCCAAAACACAGCCCTGGGAGCTGGGCCTCAGGGCCACTACAGGAACCATGCAAACGGACGGGGAGAGGGCCAGGGGCAGACAAGTCCCGAGATTCACAGGGCTGGGGAGGACTCCAGTCTTCACTCTGAACTGGGGAGATGCAGATTCGCCCCCACCCGCAGTCAGCAGCCCGTGGGGGATCTGACACCGAGAAATGAGGAAATGAACCCATCTGCTCTTGCCGTCCTCAGCATGTTTACTGGAGCCTGTTGTTCAAAAGACAAAGCCCCAAACAGGGAGTGGGGAGGTGGTGTACGCCTGGAATCCCAGCACTCAGGAGGCAGAGGCAGGAGGATCTCTATGAGTTCAAGGCTAGCCTGGTCTACATATAGAGTTCTAAGACAGCCAGGGCTACATAGAGAGACTCTGTCTCCCTTCCCCCCACAAAAGGCAACCCCACCAGGTCGGAACTAGAAGCCCATGGTAAGAATTGACCACCCCTGTACAGATACGAACTAACCTGGTAGACGGAGGCAGAGAAGAGGGCAGATGGATGGAGGTGGAGGAAGAGATGATGGATGAAAAATGGAGGGGGAGAGAGATGGAAGGAAGGATGGATGGATGAGAAGAGGTGGCTGTAAGGACAGACGGGTGGGTGGGTGGACAGACGGATGGACGTCGAGATGGACAGATTGAGGGATGAATGGGTGACGATAGCAAGACCCCTGGGCATGGATCTACCACTCAGACAGGAATGGGATGAGATGGAGAAGGTGACACGGAAGAGCTTCCAGCTTGTGGTAAAGAGTATGCACCTGCCAGCTGGAAGGACTGGAAAAGCTCAGAGCCAGGAAAAAGTAGCTCACGTGAATTTCCCCACTTTTCTCTCTGAACCAAACCTTTGGTGGCTTGAAGGAGAACGGCTCCCTTCCATATATTTGAATGCTTTGTCCCTAGTTGGTGAACCCAAAGCCCCACCTATCTCCGCTTCCCCAGCACTGAGGTACGAAGCACGTGCTACACCTGGTCTGTTTACGTGGGTTCTAGAGATCAAGTCTTCATGCTTGTAGAGCAATCGCTTCACACCCTTGTGACCTTATCTAGATTCACAGGGTGATAAACAGTCTAACAATGTTTCCAGACAAAAGGGACAGGGTACACGAGACAGCTGTCGGGGACAGGCAGAGGCATTTGCACAAGGACCCCCCCCCCACACACACACAGCCGGAAGCTATCTTCAAGCCCTAGAGAGGCCACATCATTTGCATGG